AAGGTAGCAGTGATAGTGACAAAACCATACTGCATCAAAAATCAACTCTGGAAAAACTGAGGGATAAATCATATGGACTGGCCGTAGTAAATGATGTATACCAGTACCTTAGTGCACTATTTCATGACTTGCACCCTACCATAATATTCCAGAAACTAGTCTCATTCCAGCCAAATTATTTCTACATACTGAGCACATTCTTGTTGACATAGCAGTAAAATCTGAATATTAGTTGTGCAATTTCATATTTGCTGCTACCCCTACTAATGTATTCAAATTATAACGACAAACTGAAGCAAGTTCACGAAGCATTAGTAGCTACTGTTAATATCAATGCAAAATTCAGATGAATTATGCTTTAATTCAAGAAATGAAAGCAAAATCAGTGGAAGGGAAAAACAAAAATCAGAAGAAAAACATCTCAGTCTATTCTAATTGTGTTGAACCAAACTCAATGCTGAAGGCCCAAAGAACACATTTCCCAGGCATTCAAAAATTAGGGACGGGGACAGCTCAGAGGCAATAATTTCTTGTTGCTCACCAGTTGATCAGGATAGCAGAACTGGGATTTTAAAACTGGAATGTTAGAAGCACCATAAATGTTTTCTGAGGAGTAAAATGGAGTTCATTAACTAGTCAACAAAATGGTTGCACTTCATAACAGATTCTCTAAAGCAACCAATCAAGTCACAGCCAATTGTGTTAAAATTATTGATCATAATGGTTTAGCTCTGGACTGGAACTTGAAGGACTCAATAGCTGGAAAACAGAACGAGATCATCTTTTGTATTTGACATTGGATATCTTTGTTACAAAAGGTTCTTCAGTTGACTCAACGCTCATTCCCCATGTTGTGACGCAAAGCAAAAAAAATTCCTACACTAGATCATTCCATGGCCTAGTCAAACCACCTCAATAAACTCACAGCAGGACCTCACTATGTTATTCTTCTTCGTATCCATGGTGGTGACACATCTTTTCATCAATTCACATAATGTGGATAAAACAGATTGAGAATGGACAGGCTGTGCATGCAATGTCTATGTTCCCAGGGCATCCGAGAGCCTGTGTAGACTAAACAAATTCACTTAAGTCTAGATCAGCACATCTATCATACTTCAATTTTTGGTTATTTTTAAAACATTTTTCTAATCAATTTGTTTAGAGATGTTATTAGACACCTCTGGAGCAGTTGGCTTCCAGGTCTGGGGGTAGGCACACGACCAATGCACCACTACCATACTTCAAAGAAGGGATGATATTGCTGCTTGCCAATTAAATCTGTAGCCTATTATTGAGGGTTACTTAAATTTAGCACTTTATCATCAAATTGTTCAGACCTTGGTTCCATACGTACTGTAGGAAGGATAAATATTCACTTACATACAGCATCATGAGAGTTAATGTGATGTTGATGTTTGGTGAACGGTCACATTTGGAACACTAAAACCTTCAGTGTCTATGCTCATTTTTCTCATCAAGAATGTGAGAGGTCAGTTTGAAAAGCTGTGTCGTGGGTATAAAGAACACTGGCTAAATCACATGAGGACTAAACCTAGTTGGTGCCAACATTCATTATACATTGTAGCCAGGTCTGCCCTGAAAGATTATGTTGGCAATCCAGGGCTCATTGCAAAGCTGGGAGGTGGTATGTGTTAATGTTAACCACCTATAACAAAGCATGTTGCCCATGGAATTATTGTTTGCCCAACATACACACTGCTATTATCTGGGATCAACAGCCTCTCACTATTTGCACATTCCTTAACACCTTACAAAGGCAATCATAGAAATCCTTGACCAAAATGCTGGCTTGCAATTGGTCCATAGATATGTATGATGATGAGTGCACCTCCAATGAAGAATGGCTATAAATATCAAAAAATCCATGGTCTTGGTACAAGGTGCCACAATTTCATCCCAATCACATCCATTGGTAGTGGTTAGAAAATTCTGCTTCCTCACACCCACAGTAACAACCTATTCCGAACACATAAAACTTGATACATGTGCAGGGTTAAGTAAGTAGGTACTAACTTTGGCTGATTCACCAAATTGGTGAAGATTCACCCTTTGGACAAAGCTGATACAATTGGCAAGGTCTTGGCCCTTGGTTCCAAGGCTACAAATCATCGATGACTTGCAGCTATGAAGAAAAAGCTTAATTTCCATCTTAGCTGCATGCATTAAATTGCGAATATAACCTGGCAGAATAAAGCAATAGATGCAGCAATCCTCTCAAAGGCATGCTCCCAAGTTCATTAGCACTCAAACAGATGGCATTGTTGGCTTAGGCATGTCTGCAGAATAGAAGATAGTCCTATGAGACAAGGACTTGCTATACAGTGAGGTAGCTGGAGCCAGACAGAATCTTACAGCTATATTCATCACCTTCATAGAAGCAAGTTTGCTGACAAGGAATTGGAGATTTGCAGACAGTGCATCACGGTAGCTTAGTGGTTAGCACTGCTGCGGACCCAGATTCAATTCACTCGCGGCAACCTTCTGTGTGAAGTTTGCATATTCCACACCCCTCCCCTACCATATACGTGGGTTTACTCCAGTTTCCTCCCAAAGTCAAAGATATGCAAGTTACATGGATTGGCCATAGGAAATGCAGGATTACAGGGAGACGGTAAGATAGTGGTTCTGGATGGTATGCTCTTCAAAAGGGTTGGTGTGAACTCCATGGGCTGAATGGCTTGCTTCCACACTGTAGGGATTCTATGATTGCTTTTTGCTACTATGACTGCAAATGCTGCTATCAAGGCTTGATGTTCAAATCCTTGAACTGTTCTAAGAATGAACAAATCACCCTTGTCTGTTCCTTATACCTGCTCTACTGTAAGTGGTGTAGTAGTGCAAAGCTGCTACCTCTAGGAATATTATACTAAAATCACCTCACTACCAATAAACATTGTTTAAAAGCACTGATCTAGCATACAACATAATTTATGACTTTTTTTGACAATTCCATTGACGCCATTCACATGAAAAATTTAGACAAAAAAGGGAAACAGCTGCTAATTATTCTTTGAGTTGTAAATTTTACAGACAAAATTAAAAATGTGGACATACACATTGGATTAAGGTAATGGGCATCCCAAATTTTGAAAAACTTGCCACAGAAATTGTGTCAGAGGGGTTGTTAGCAATAAATTACAACTAAAAGGCTGCAAAAAAAATCCAACTATATCTCATTCAACAAGACGTAACTTTTTCAATGGGTTTGTACAGCAAGAGTGGTAACACACGTGTAAATTAAAGCAATTTTCAACTGCAGGGACATTCAAATAAGGCACTTTAGAAAGGAAAACCAAATGGAAGGAGCAGTTGGACTTGCATGCTTATCTGAAAATGCTGATGTCAGAAGCAGCCATCTGTTTCAGAGTTATGAATGCAAGAAGTTATGGCATCTAGAACAAAATCTAGGCCAGGTGGACAGAAACACTGTATATTTGCTCTCAAGTAAATTCTAAACTGAAGTGAAGTGTAGTCCAATAAAATTTAATCCATTTCCATGATCTAACCCATTGCTACTCTAAAAAAATCCAATATTCTTAAAACTAAGACTAGTTTACAACTGCTTATTTAAATAAAAAAAACACTGAATTTTATATAAAGCCTTTTATTTAAAAATGGTAATTAAAAATGTGTAACAAAAGTGCTTGATCAATAAATTAAAAAGTAAAGAAGCAAAGCATCCAAATTTAATTTCTCAAAATTCTACTTACCTGAGTCTTGTTTTCGGACATTCTAATTTTAAGAATAATTTTAGATAATCTTCAACACTTTAAAAAGTTACAAATTTCATACCTGTGGATTGGAAATCTTATCGTGCTGTCTAGTTTCTTGAATATAGTTGCAAGTGCTGGAAAGATTAACTTTCATACAACTATTTAAGTAAAATTCATAACTTTAAAGATGACATGTCCAACCCATAATGGTTCATTAACTACAAAAAAGTAGCTGTGAGTTGTAGTTTCATGTTCATGGCAATATATTCTTCAAGTAGTGGTTCAGATCAATAGGTTTCCAGTAAAACAAAAAATATAATACAAAACCAAAAGTTGCTACTAATAAAAAAAAGCGCTAGGTAGACACTCTCCTTTTTGAGAAGTCTTGTGTAAAATTTTGCAATTATAATTACATGGAACAGTGAACCATCTGTTACATGAACTCAAGAATTACATCAGTGCTGTACTGTCCACAACCCCTTCCAAAAGAGACCAAACATTGGTATTGGCTGAACTGTTACGGTAAGGAAACATATCAATATTGTTTGCAAGTTATGACTAATGCAGCTAGGAACCAAAAATAACTTGGATATTCCAAAAATGTCAGCTACATTTGAGAATAAGATGTATGGCTAGTACAGTTGTTAAAAAAAAAATGACATTTACTCTTACTATTAAATCATATTCAAACATTCCATTTCTACTGCTGCAATTTGACAGAGTATGAAGAATAAACTTCTCCATAAATGCTCATCCATGCTCCACATGAGCCAAAAGGAAGCTCACTTTATGGAACAGGATTAAATCTCCTGATTTTAAACCAGAGTCAAATCAATGATCATAAAAAGGAGGCCCCTAACAAGCTACAAGGGAATTCTTACGGCAGAGTGGGTAACCTCCCTGCCTCAGTCTGAAGCTCCAGGTTCAAGCTCCACCCCAATAGCCGATGGCCAAGGGAAGTGCTGCAAGTTTTTATCAAACAAATAAGTTGATTAATAACCTGTAATTCCTTCCAACACATTAATGGCAGACAGTAAGAACAGGAGAGATTCCTGGTCAGCCATGGGACAGAAAGTAAGTTGAAGCCCCTAACATGCTTAGTCATAGCTCCAGACTTGTAAAGTGCATGTTCCCACAGATGACCTCTAACACACTATCTCGTTATAAGAGAATCTGACTCCCAAGCCAGTGAACACGAGAACTTAAAACTAAGGTCTCTAAAAGGGAGTTAACCACTACCCACTAGAGTAACCAGTCACCCACTGAACCATCATTTTTATTTTAACACTATAGAGACTTAGGATATACCATTTTGCAACTGACGAATGTGCTTCAGACTGATCACAACCCCGCCCCAAAGCATTTTTTAAAAAAAAATGTTTCACATTTTGTATTTGCCCAGTGTTTGAGTTTCACATTTCAACATTTAAAAACTTTTCAGTGCAAAAATAGTTCTAATATACAGACAGTTGAAACTGTGCTATCCTTGTTTTGTTCTGGTTTTGTACAAGAATATTAAAACCATCAAAAGTTAATCTACACGAACTGCCCTTTTCACCATATATGTTTTTAGACACCTTTTTAAGCTAATTTTCAGAAACTAAGGCCATAGAAAAATACTTGACATTAACTGCATCTTCTAAACAAGCTAGAAATCTGTTCAAAGTAAAACGCAGTGTGTAGAGATTTTGGTGGTTTTCAAATTCAAACTCAAGACAAAATGAAAACATATACAGAGCTTTCAGTTTCAATTACTATAACAAAATCTTAGAACACGGGCTTCTACTTCTATATTCAGCTTGTTCGTACTGTCTTCATTTAGTTAAAAAAAATTAAGTATTTGGCAGTCCCAAATAGTCTGTATTGAAATACAATGCAACTGCTGTACATTTAAGTAAACCAATCCTCTCCCCAGTTGAGGTAGCAGAGGCAGATAAAAACAATTAGCACAGGATTTAGGAAAAAAATCCTCACTAAAATCAGAATTTCATGTCCAACACACTATGCTTTGACATACAAAATAGGAAAAATTCTTTCTTCTACACAAGCAGTCACAGATTATATTGCTGAATTATTTTTAATTCCAAGACGTGAAGTCAATGTGTTTAAAAAAGTCCCCAATCAACCACATCTGGATTTTTATCATCAAGATGCTTCTGCATTAAAACTACAATGGAAGGTTGACTAACACAAGCTCCGAACTAACTGAGGCAAATTACACATATTGAAATTTATCAAATTAAAACACAAACATACAGCCTTCAAAAGGATTCAACATCAAGAAACTGAATTTGAAAACTTGCATAATCTACACAACCGTAGGCTCCATTTAACAGTTTATTACAACACTAATGGTACATCTATTTTGATAAACTGAAACTGAGCTGCTTACAGTCATTATTTGAACATTAATATTTTTGTAACAATTTTGGTAACAAGATGAAAGAACTATAAAAACAGTGAAGCTAACGACTTTTAATTGTTTACATGTCAGGTACTTCTAACGCTTAGAATACGAAGAGTTGCCAAAGCTTTTAGTAACTTTTAAGTCACAGGTTGTGTCCAAATAAAATGGTTAATCAAGCAACATAAAAAAAATGTAGAGCAATCAGTTACCATTACAGTGGATTTGCTTTATTCGTTACTGTTGCTCCGTTTAACCACGTAGCCTGAGAATTCCTGTTCAACCATGAAATTCCAACAGATGGATAAAGGGCAGTCCTTTCTGTGAAGAGCCTTTGTTGTTTCTTTTAGCTGGAGACGTTTCTCTTCAGACAGCTGTAATGTGTCAAAATTCATGATGTAGATTTTGTTCTTCCCTGACTACGTTTGTACATACTTTACACCATCATATTGAATTTACTAAGTACATATTATAACTCATGCATTTGTTTTAATATTGGTGCCTTGAACAGATTTGACACTATTAGTATGCAAATACTACAGATCAAAAGAAACAATTTAAACTCATGTTCAGCACATCAGAAAAGTTTGTAAAATATTTTTCCACACATTCCAAACAGCCCAGAATATACATTAAGACCAACTGCTATACATCAGTAAATTAATTGATTTATACACGTTTGAAGGTTTTTGTCACATTTAGAAGTAAATGATTTTTTTTAAAAAGCTCAAGCTTTTAACTATCACTCATTCATTTGAAAACATTGAGCATCAAAACTGACCCCAATTGTGACCTTTCACCAGCTGACTCAGGAAAACATGGGGAACAATTTCTCCACAAGTGCCAAGATGTGGCTGACTGAGTTTTACTTCAAATGTTATTGAACTAACAGTCACATTTTGAGTGATCGTAGTGTATTACTTGACAACTGCAGAATTGTGTAGGTTTGTACCCAACATTTAAATTCTTGAAAACAAAAATAATAGGGGCTATGAGAAACCAAATTTTACAGATCTTTTAAAACAGAAACCAACTTAAAACCTAGGGGAACTTGAATACATGTCAAAGGTCACAACTGGGCTAATTTATATGGAAATACTCCCTTTCAAACATGAAACATTTTCATTCAAACATAAATTGATCAACAGTACTTGCTGGAAAAGAGTCAATATATTGGACCTTACAAAAACTGACAAAGGTTTTGCTCTTGTGTAACAACCAGACATGCAGATATACAATGCGTCAAGCTAAAGCTCTCGATCTTCTACTTAAAATGTCATCTAAAAGTTCATTCTGAATAAAAAACATGAAAAATAATTTCACAAAATTTCGCAACAGCCACAAGTTTCCCCATGCCCTGAGATTCATATTTGTTTCAAAAGTATTTACATTAACTATGTTGACAGCAATTAACCTTTTGATTAAGAATTCCATTATTTGATAGCAGATGGAGTAAATAATGTATGATTGCATTAACTGCTCTACAAACCTAGCTGATGTATTCACTAAAAAAAAAGTCACCGCATACTATTTGCCCCTCAAGTTACCAGAAGATTCATGTTATTGTATAAGTGACTTAAGCAACAGCTTTTCTACATTTCAAGCATATTCAAAGCTGATTATATTTATTTCAATGCTTAGTTGAAACAAATATAGCAGTCTATTAAACAGCAAGGCCATACAAAACAATCTTATAAAGTGAACCAATTGTAGTAATCGAGAAATGTTGCAATGCCACATGTTAGCACACTAGATTAGCAGCAATCATCTGACCCACAACTTTGTTGAGGAATAAAGTTTTACACTCAATGAAATTGAAACCATATTTCACAATCTCCATGAGACAACATTTCCCCAAGGCCGCATGTAACTGATCTCCATCAGGCAAACCCAAAAGATTGTCCAAATTGCACCAACATGGATTAACTTTGAGACACACACACACACACACACACACACAGAGTCTTAAATGCTGAAGTAATACTATGATTAAATTTAAATGAAAAGACTGTTTAAATGAAAAAGAATGTTTAATGCTACAGTTAAAATTAATTATAATTCTGGTGTAAAAGTAGTAGACAGTGAAACTTCTATAGAGGTAATACCTTTACAGACGTTAAACAACTGTGAATCCTTGTGCATTTAAGGTCCAAGCATTCATGAACCAATTAGACCTCTCACCAAATTAAGATATTGTGTGATACTAATTTAAAAATAATCGTAACATATTAACTCACTAAACAAATCTCATACTTGAAACATTTTCAGTGGTATGCTAAATAGAAGACAGTAGCCACATCTAGAAATAGGGTCTAGACCCAAAACATCAGCTTCCCTGCTCCTCTGATGCTGCTGGGCCCACTGTGTTCATCCAGCTCTACACCTCGTTATCTCAGATTCTTCAGCATCAGCAGTTCCTACTATCTCTGTAACATCTAGAAATAACTTCAGTTGATCCATTGAAGATTGATTGCAATCACTGATCATAATCCAAAGCTCCACTGAAGCTTTCACTGCTATTTGCAGAATCAAAGGATAAATAAAAAGCTTCTACCTGCTTTGCCAGTGAGTGACTGAAGTGAAGCATACATTTAAAATGGCTAAAATTTACTGTAATTTAACAGACAAATCAGTACCACTGCAATGTCAAACTTACTGTAAAAGCAGATCTTCAAAAACTGGGCAGAAGTAACAAGGAGTCTTGGAACTCCTGATGATTCAAGTTTATTAGCCACTTTGAATAAATCCAACATGCTTTTGTCATTCCACCGAGCTAATTTATTTCTTAAATCTTTAGGCCAAAAACTGTTTACAATCTATATGAGCAATAGGAAACCTGGCGTTAAGCTCATCTCAGATTAATTGGAGCCTAACAGAAAATTCTTAGAGCTTGACAGGATAGATGAAGGAAGGAAGCTTTCCTATGTTTGTCAGGCTGGGGAGGGGAGGTTGGTAGTGTAAAGGAAGAGACAGAGCGTGTGATTGGGAGACAGAGACTATGACAGCCTTCTAGGGCCAGAGGACAGTGAATTAAACAATGTAGGGCCAAGATGAGAAGAAATTTTTTCAGATGCTGATGAATCTTTGGAATTTTCTATCAGGAAGGGCTGTGGAGATTAGGCAATGAATTTATGACAGGTAGATCAATAGTTTTCTAGATATTACAAAATGTTGAATGAAATGGCACTATTATGTGGGCAAAAGACTGAAGTAGCAGATCAGCCAAGACCTAACTGAATAGTAAAGGCGGCTACAGGACACAAGCAGCTTATTCCTGTTTCCCATGTTCCTCGCCAACTTGACACACTAGCAGTAACTGATTACATACCATTTGAAAGGTTCTTAGCTTACAGAAATCAAAACATTTTTGATACTGATACTGGATGCTTAGATGCCATGCAAATTGTTAAAGTTCACCAGATTGGCATTATGATCCACTTACTGTCATTGGTTGTAATCAAGTAATTAAAATTGAGAAATAACAAGATGTTGAAGAAGAAAATATATTGGAAACCATAAGGTCTATTTTGTCGAAATCTTCTAAACAGGATTACAATTAGACACTCCTGTGTGTTAGGTCGTGTTATTAGCTAGAATTATGGGATGTCAATGCAGTTTTTTTTATATTTACAATTCAGCAAACTTATTTCACAAATACTTCAGTGCAACAGTTTAGGTAACATCAATTCTGTTGCATAGAAATAATTACAACTTAGAAATGACATCACAAAACATTTCCTCTGCTTTACATTCCGTTGTTTTATTTATTTAGGCATGGATTCCCAAAAGCTTCAATGCAAAGCTCAGACTGCATTATGACAGCTTTGAGCTGCATTTCAATTCTTGTTTTCTTTTTGTGTTGGTGACTATGTCCTAATAAATTGAGACCGAACTACTGCAGCAAAAACAACATGTTTTTCCATTTTATCAACCCCCTTTAGGTGCATTTTTTGGGAGGGGGTGAGGATGGAAGAGAGACAAAAGACAAGGAGAGTATGGGGAAGGGAGACACAGACAGAAAGTAAGATGGCCAAAGAGGAGCTTGCTTGAGACGGGAAGGAAGGAGCCAGCAACAACTGAGTCTGATAATACACCCCTCCCCCTCAAATAGAAAAAAAAACAATGGAAGCCTGCACCATTCAACATGTCTTCCAATCCTCATATTTCAGGGCCTGAAGTCAGAGATGGTAAAACAGGTGACACTTGGAACAGAAAGTTTGGGCTGCATTGATTTAGGTCATATGCAATGGGCATTTAAGACCATAAATTAAGAGTGGCGAGATTATTGTTGTGCCTACTCTGCACTCAACTAATTTACAACACAAACTGGCAATGGGTTATAAATGGTTTATTTCACAAGATTCCAAAAGCACTCAAAAATATGTATTTTAAAACATGACTTGGTGTGTGGACATTTTATTTAGACACCCGTTGTCTTATTGCAATAATCTATTTCTGTCATCAGCAAGACCAAAACTAAATTGAAACTATAATCATCAGAAAACAATATACAAATAAACTCACCAACCTGCAAAGGAATGAAGATTACTCAGTCAAACACCACAGAACGCTATCTAAAAGACAGCTTGTGACATTTGATTATGCAAATAATGACAACTTATAACAGTGTACATAGCAGTTGGGCTATTGGTGATTAGGAACAAATCTACGTTGTCATTCAATGAGATCATGGTTGATATGATAATCAGCAACTCTATTTTCCTGCCATTTCTCCATAACCCTCTATTCCTTTACTGATAGAAAACATGCCTCAGCCTTGAATATTCTTAATGACAGTCCCCTCCAGTAAGGAATTCTACTGACTCACTGCCCTCAGAAAAATTCCCTCCTTATTTGTCCTGCATGAACGCTAATTCAAGGGCATGACTCTGATCTTAGGCTCCAATAAAGAAAAACAACCTTTCTGAATCTACCTGATCAAGTCCCCTAAGAATCTTGTATGTTCCAATAACATGATCTCCAATTCTTCTAAATTTGAATGAGTATAGGTCCAACCCACTCAACCTCTCAAAAGAGAATTCCTCCATACTCTGGATCAATTTAGTGACCCTTCTCTGAATTTCCTCCAACACTAGCACATCTTTCGTTAAATAATGGAGATCTTACCTTACCTGTCCAGTGCTCGAGGCGCAGAGAACTTTGTGCCCCGTATAGTTCTAGCAAGACTTCCCTACTTTTATATATTGCCTTTGAAATTTATGTCAACGGTCAATTTGCCTTTGCCAATACCCGCTGAACTTGGATGCCAGTTTTTTTGTGATTTATGCCTGGGGACAGCCAATTCCCTGTGTTGTAGCTTTCTGCAGTCATTCTCTATTGAAATTTAATTGTAGTGGAAGATGCACAAACTCAA